GCTTGAATAACCCATCTTCCCATCTAATGTAATCTTTGCAACAGACTCAAGGACACCCTCATGGGAACTAGACCCAGACATGCTGGGAGCAAAAGGGCTACTAGGAGAAGCAGATCCACCAGAAGCAGCACCAATGCTATTATCAAATAAAGGAACAATAGCCCAGGCGAAAGACTCTCTGCAAGGCATAATTCGAGACCACACCTGCAGTTTCTGCCTTTCTCTCTCTGTCAAGTGCACCTGTTAAGGAGAAGATAGAGAACAACAATAATTATAAGGAATTTATTTCAGATGCAGAGGGTAAAATGTGCAATTACCTTAGAAATGATTACCATTAAGCAATAACAATAGTCAAAAACCATACAACTACTAAAATAAATCAAAATTATATTAATTTTCCCCGAGCTTTCATCAACTCTAAAATATTAAGAGTGTCCTACAACAAACTTGACGTTCAGTGCAACATTAGCGGCTGAAGACCTACCCTCATATTCCAATAGCCAAAACTATGTTGCCTCACACATGCAACAATTCTCAACTGACATAGTTTAAATTATTTACAGACTTTCCTAATCATCTCTTCACTAAAATGAGAACACTTAGCATGCAATGTAACAATTTAAGTTCAAATGCACAACAGCTGCATCAGCGGGTTTTTTTATGGCTTTGGTTTCTCTCATCTTTTAAAATGTCAACGTTCACCAAACTCCAGTCGATTAATATTTCTGAGAAATAAACATCCCTTCCTACTAGACGTACCGAAACATTGAATTCTAATCACCTATGAGAAACAATTTCATAATCAACTGATCCAAAACATTAGAGTAACAAAAGGATCAATGCAAGCACAATAGAAGTCATTTATAATTTGTAAGGAAGCATAGATAAAAGAAAGTATGGTAATATGTAGCAGTAGGAGCATAGATGAATGAATATGGATGAAAATCAGTATGGATGAAAATCCACTGAAGAATTACTAATTTCACAATTATCTTGCTGTAAGAGAAAGACCAAATGCTCCACCATCTCAGCTAATGGTTAATCACCCTGGCCCAAAAACTACAATATATCAAGCATTAATTGCAATGCCAATGATTAGCTAACTTATCTAGCAGATGCAGAGCCATTATTTTCCACGGTAAGAACTATAGTTAAAACCAATTGAAAGACAGATGATGAGGGGGCAATAGTTAAAATTCTTGCCGCCAGATAACAACCAAGCCAACAGGTAAAACTCTTGCTGCCAGGTAACAAGCAAGCCAACAGGTAAAATTCTTGCTGCCAGGTAACAAGCAAGCCAACAAAAGAGAAATTTTGTCACATTTAATCAGAGGTCAGATTGAAGATGAACAAGATGGAAACATATAAGTTCTTCATACATACAGGTTCTTTACATGAATAAACAGGAGGAGTGACGCCCCCTTCTTCTGTTGCAGGCTTCTCTAATTGGATTAGTAGACACACAGATGCTGATGGAGCATCTAAATAGAAAAGTCCACGAGGTTCTGAAGACACTTATTAGTCTGTCCAGGTAAATGAGAAAGAGTGGATTTTTAGGTCATCAATATGAAAAACCAAAGCACCAAAGAATTTAATGCTAAATTAGTTTTGAGACTTACATCCTGCATTTCAGTTGGTAGAATGCTAAAATAGAAATCTTTTGACAAATTTTCTCTTCTCTCCCTATTGTATAAGCAAATTGTACCATAGAATGGCTCTAAGATAAGTAGAGGGAACTGGGTCAGAAATCTTAAAAGTGCAAAAAATAATGAAATAAAGCAGTATCTTAACATTATAAAGATGCAGCAGCTTGTGGATAACAGGGAAAGAACACTAACCAA